TACTCGTGGAAATGTTATCACAAACCAATAATGATCTATGGACTAGCATTTCAGAAGCACTAATACAATTAAACTCCTGTGGTCTGAGGTTTGTTTCCACCCTTCCAGATCCAGTCTCCACCCTTCCCCCATTGTGTTATTTTCTGGGGAAGCTGATCTCTTTGAACTTGTCATTCAGGCTCTCTTGCCTTCTGTTTTTTTGTTGCACTCAGCCCAAGGGAGATACAGAAGAGCACAGGGTGAGAGAAGGGGAGGTCAGGCTATTTATTCCACTGGTCCATCCACCATTATGACTGAGCACAGCTTGGCAGTGGTTCTATTTCTCTACCCAGGATGTCAGCTCATAGACATAGCCTTCTCCTCAAGCTCTCTTTCTAGATTCTATAATACTACTCTGCCATTATCTCTTCAGGCTCTTGACTCTCTTCAGGTCAAGATGAGGCAAAGATAATCTTTGGCACTTGGAAGTGCCCCACTATCCTTTATTCGTGCCCTTAACTGTGCTCACATGTTTGTACATAATCCCTTCATTGAATTCCCCTTAATCACTCTTTTGGAATGACTGACTGCTTCCTGCTGAGATGTGCCCAACACATTTTTCATTGAAAAATGAAGAACTGAGGCCCCAAGAAGTAAAGCCCAGATATTACACAGCCCAGGTCATGTGGTCAGGTCCAGAATGTGGCCATCCAGGTTATAAGCAGTGTTGTCCTTAGTCAGTGCTCATCTGTCATCCTCCCAATGGCTATCTCCTTCCCAGTCATACTGAAAGGCACTTTCTGGAACCGTCTTTCCACTGGGCTTTGGCAATAATTATAGTTTGCTCAAGTTTTGAATAAAAAAACATCCTATTAGCAGACTATTTAAGCAACTCCAAAACAGAGGAGTACTGTTTCCAATAGAATGGATTGAAATCAGGAAAAACTGAGTTTTTTAAGTTGATGCCTAAATAGAATTGGCAATTGAGCCTAAGAAACTATTGCAAAAGCTAAGCACAAAAGGACATGAGGATGATGGCATTTCCACTGTAAAATAAATGCTGATCACCAAGATGGGGAGAGGGATGATATAAATTGTCCAGAGTAAGGGGCTAAGGTGGGAACCTAGGGAAACACTTTCATCAGCATGAGAGATATGAGGAGGTTGTAGAAGGGTAAAAAAGTTCAGAGCCTCTAGTACCCATCAAGCAGGGGGAAAGCAGTAGGAAATAGAAGAGACATTGAGCTGAAGCTTGACTGTTGCAAAATGTGTTGAAAGCATGTTTTATCTGGCATGAAGTTACTGTGCCACTGAGCAGAGGCTAGGGGAACCTTCTCTTTATTAGGGTTTAAAAATAAGCTAGAAAGTTTTAATACCACATGATTCTCTTTAAAGGAGTTGGGGCAATGGAATGACCAATAATAAGATTAACTGAGCATTTCATCTGTCTTAAGTTACCTGCTTTACCATATTTAGATTGCACAGAAACCAATGCCCAATTCCATAGCCATTTCCACAGCCCAATTTCCATAGCCTTTTGCTGTGCTAGCTAGTACCTGGCCTTTGGCAAGCAGAATTTGCCTAGCACTCTGATCCCTGTCAGCGTCCCAGGCCAGATGCATAGAGAGTATTCCTCAAAGAAACCACTGGTAGTCAGAAGACAGGGCTGCCCCTCTGATGAAACCACCTTATTTGCCTGCTGAGACTTCATCAACAACTATTTACTGGGCTCCTACTCAATGGTCAGTTCCGTGCAGTCAGGCTTCTGCAGGCAAGGGCCTCTCTACATATTGCACACGGATTCAGAGGCAGGGGAAAGATTTGGGTCAGAGACTTCGAGCCAGTCATGAAGAGGCGAAGGAGTTTATATGGTTGAGGAAGAAGAGCAAGATCATAAGACAAAGAAATACTGACTTAAAAGTAAGGGGGCGGGCGGCACCAGGGTAGGTCAGTCCTTTAAGCATCCAACTTCAGCTTCAGTCATAATCTCACAGTTCGTGAGTTCAAGGTTCACATCGGGCTCTGTGCTGACAGCTTGGAGCCTGGAGCCTGCTTCAGATTCTGTCCCCATCACTATCCACCCCTATCCTATTCATGCTCTGTCTCTCTCTCTCTCTCTCCCAGAAATAAATAAAAACATTAAAAAAATTTTTTTTAAAGTAAGAAAGGGAATGATGAAAAGATACTGAGATGACTTCATGACATAAAGGAAATTTAAATTAGAAAAAAAAAAAAAAAGAATAGATTTTCTTCCAGATCCTCAAGTGAGGAACCTCTACAACTAGACAAGAATCTACTTTTACGATTTTGTATGAGATTTGTCAATTAGAAGACTATTAGCTTGAAAACACATGCATAATACTTTAGTGTCTTTCCTGCAATCAAAGAGTTTACTGGATTTTTAATTTGTAGCATTTTTTTAGTTTAATCCTCTTGGTTATCTTAGTTCCATGTACTTAGATGACTGGCTTGTTATTTAGGTAGAAATTTTTAAGACAAAAAGCAGAAGTTAAAAACTGGAACTCCCAATGAGTTGTTGGAATTCACCACTTGAAAATCCACAGACAGGTTCAAAACCCAAACACCTGTATGAACCATACATGTTCAACATGTGACAGCATTTAAAATACTTTTGACTGGGGCGCCTGGGTGGCTTAGTCGGTTGAGCGTCCAACTTTCGCTTAGGTCATGATCTCGTGGTTCGTGGGTTCGAGCCCCGCGTCGGGCTCTGTGCTGACTGCCAGCTCAGAGCCTGGAGACTGATTCAAATTCTGTATCTCCCTCTCTCTCTGACCCTCCCCTGCTCACGCTGTCTCTCTCTCTCTCTCTCTCCTAGAAGTACATAAAAAATAAAAAAAAAAAAGACTTTTGGCTAGTATAATTCACTCATCTATTACTTTAACTACCAATACAGTTTATATTCATAATAAAAACAAATGGCTCTAAGTGGGGTATGTCCAGAAGTGCCTGAAGCAGAATGGCTTAATGGTAGAAGTCCCATTTCCTGGTCTTCTACCCTTATATCCTGCAAAACTAGTCTAATGACTCACTACACCTATCTTCTTTAGGGTCCTTGAAATGACTCACCCATATCTAAAACATCTATCTCTACGTATGTACTTATTCCCGAAATTATCCTTGATTTGACTTGTATTTCTTTGTTTGGTAAATGGGGGTTCCCTCTCATTAAAGACTGCTTTCCTTTGTATAAGCCATTTTTACCTCTGTGTAGATACAGTTATGGCTCTTTCCCTTAAGGGAGAAGGAATATAGGAAGGTGGGGGAGTGAGAGCTTGCAGCTGGAGTATGGGTGCAGACCAGAGACTGCATTCTTCACAGTTTGCTCAGGGTTCTCTCTACTTCACAATGCATGGCAATTTCTTAAATCCACCTGCATAAAAAGTCCTATACTACTTAATAACTGTCTTCAGTCAAGTCTGTTTCCTTTGGTCTTGACTTACAATGCTTTTATCTTATTGGAAATGATTGTTCTTGGCTAGAGAAATTTGAGCTATTTGGGGAGAAAGACCCAGAGAAACAGATTAGTTTGATCTTGCTTGATCTACTCACAAAAAATTTAAGAAACTTCCTTTTGAGATCAAACATTAGACAAGAAGAGTCTCCCTGGAAAAAGCAACTAGATCTGGAAATCCCAAACTTTTTGGAATAGTTGGGCCTCTTGAAATTTCCCCTTTCTGCATAAAATTTGCATAATAATTTGCAACATGAATTATCTATAGGTGTAAATATATAAAAATTTTTTTCGAGACTCATTTTATGAGATTTTTAAAAATTAACGTTAGAAATGTATTGGAATCATTATGGGATGCTGAGGATCATTGATTCATTCCAAATATCACTATTCTAGCCCAAGATGCTTATACCCCAAAGTCTGATTGGTGCAGGGCATGTGTGAGGTGGGTATTATGCAGCCCCGTGTGATCTAGGAGCCAGACTGTTTTGGAACACAGCACCATTTCTTTGCCCTGCATCCTATGGAGTTTCATTTTATCAAAGGCCCAATGCAGGGCCCTAGTGTTGAAAGTATTGTATGAACAATATGAAAATGGCTGGTTCCATTTACCACCAGATGGCTCTATTGTATCATTAGGAAATGCACACATGTATAAAAATGGTGGGCTCCTAGACCAAAGGAAAAATACAAAGTACTAGTCAAAAAAAAAAAAAAAAAAAAAAAAAAATGAACACAGTTCTTTCTTTCTATGGGGTTAATTGGAAGCAGCTACAGGAGCCTGAGCATTCACAAGAAATTCACAAGGAAGGTCATAATCCTAGCACATATGAGGTCTCCCTTTTCAAGTTTTCATATTGTTGTGTAATAATTAATTGTCGGGACAGCCAGAGTAGTCAGGAAGTGCTCTTGTCTGAGCGGGCCTGTAATTGATACTTCCATACAATAGTGCATACATCTCCTGTTTGTAGATAAGAAAGAGCAACTTTAGAACAACTTGGAGGGCCAAAATCTATACCCCTGGTGATTTGAGTCTTATTAGCCATATTTTGGGCAAGAATGAGCTGATTCTAAATCCTGTGGTATATGTGCTTGAATGAACCTTGGGATAAGAAGGTGGCAATCAGAGGAAACAGGCTTCTCTGAGTTCACGTGGTTCTATTCCTCAGAATAGGTGAATGTTAAAAATAGAGGCCTTCTAGGTGACATGTCTCACTAGGAATGTGAAATTTTGGTTTTAGCCTCTTAAAGAAAGTTCTGTTTGTATCAAGAAGAGAAAGCTACAAACTAACTAGACTCCAGTGTGTATAATTTTAGTCTGACTTTCTAAAGTTGTTCATTGTCATAATTTAATATGCATTTTTTACCCTCCTTTTAGACACTAAACTCTTGAGTAAGACCACTGCATTTATAATATTTCGCTGTTTTATTACTGTGTTGAAGAAAAAGAGATTATTTGTGTGAGTTTATTAACCCTATCTGTAGCCCATAAAGTTACATTCAACAAGCTATCCATATCACAAAGTAATACATGATTATTGTTTTAAAGAAAGAGTCCCTGGAAACCGGACACATGGCGTTTACTTTGGCACAACTTGAGGCCCTGGAGATTTGCCTGAAGGAAGCAGAAGAAAAGGCTAAATCCTTATCTAAACAGGTAATACCTGTCGTTCACACTGGAAATCTATGTTCCTTAGGGTGCAGTAGAACAAGTGTAAGTCTAACTACATGTTTTATAAAAACCAGAAGCAGAGCAAACTGTTGGTTCCCAAAGGAAAACGGAGTCGGTGGGGGGTGCAAAATGGATGAAGGGGACTGAGAGATACAAGTTTCCAGTTATAGAACAAATAGGTCATGGGAAGAAAAGGCACAGCATAGGAAATAAAGTCAGTGACATTGTAATAGTATGGTATTGTGACAGACGGCATCTATACCTGTAGTGAGCACAGCATAGTGTATAGAGATGGTGAATCATTATGTTGTACACCTGAAACTAGTGTAACATTGTATGTCAACTATACTCAAAGTAAATAAACAAACAAATAAATAATTCTGTGTTTTGACCTCTGCTCCTGTTGATACACATGCATACATGCACACACACAGGTATACAAGCACACAGAGGACTTCATTCATTTTAGGTTTAACAATAATTATTTCAATCTTTGTGGATCTTTCCAGCCTTTATAACTCCTTTTACATTTATATTTTGATTTCCATTCACCCTAGACCAGGAGTGGGGCCAGCCATCTTTAAGCAGTAGTTCTCCTGAATCAGCGAAGCATATTTGTATTGTAAACAGATAAGTCCAAAGGTGAGATAAAACCCGCAGGAAGCACAGAGGAGCAATTTTCTCAAATTGTTTGAGAAAATACGGTTTTGGCTTCCCTGTTGGGTTTTTAAAACTCAAAGGAGTGGTGGAGCCCAGCCGGTAGTGGGCAGCGCTGGGTGCTCTAGAGATGACCTGTGTACCCAGTAGGATTCTGGGGTCAGGCACAGTGACTGTGGGTATCAGCAAAGCTCAGACCAGGGACTGGCCCGTTTCCCAAAATCGTACTTTGCAAACAGTATGGCGCATACCACAAATCCCAGTGCTATTGTTGCCCCTCCCCCTGTGCAAGGGGGTTTGGCCCCAGAGAGCAAAGTCACTCCTGGGGACAGCGAATGGAAGAAAAAGGACAGAAATGGTATAAACATTTATTGATTTATTGTGAATTGATACATTTTGTTATATATTTTTAGAAACTTCTGAAAAGTTTTAAGTTCTTTTTCATAAGGTCTGTCTAGAAAAATTTGATTGCATCAGAATTTTATAAGAATTTTTGTGGAGGGGCACCTGGGTGGCTCAGTGGGTTAAGTGTCTGACTCTTGGTTTTGGCTCAGGTCATGATCTGTCAGTTGTTGAGTTGAAGCCTGGCCTCAGGCTCCTCACTGACAGTGCAGAGCCTGCTCGGGATTCTTTCTCTCCCTCTCTCTCTGCCCCTCCCCTGCTCACCGACACCCATGCACACATTACTTCTTTCTCTCATTCTTTCTCTCTATCTCTCTCTCTCAAAATAAATAAATAAATAAACTAAAAAAAAGAATTTTTGCAGAGACTAGGGAAGATACTGCTTGTGTTAGAAGTAAAAAAAGTATAATTAACATGGAATGTAACAACACACACAAATAGCCTCAATTTGTGCGTCTCTTACTTTGGGATGTGTTTATTATTTACTAAGTGTGGTTGATATAAAAACTTAAATCAGTTAATGAAAGGGTGTTGTCCTAGGCCCAGACCCGTTTGGAAAATTTCTGTGTCAGCCACATGATATAACCCTGGCTGGCCAATGGGTCTTGCTTCTAAAACAAATAAAAACAAGTCACACTGCAGCAAAATTGTGAGTTATAAAGAATATTATGATGGACAAAAGCCTCCAAACCTGGAAGAAATTTTGAATGGCTAATGAAAAGAGGGCATCCCTGCTGATATTAGGTTACAATGAGAAGATATATTTTTATTTTGTAATTGAAGGCCTTTTAATGATTTCTCACTTAAACCAATAAAATTTGATTCACCCATAAAAGTAATCATCCCTTTTTTTCTTAATAAAATATTTTTATCCCATACAACTAGCCCCTACTACTGAAGATTCTTAGCTCCACGATCCTTTCTGTAATATCAAACAATTAAATTTTTTAAGTGTTTGCAGATTAAATATATAAAATGGTAACTGTATTTTACTGTATTTTATTGCAGATTAAATATATAAAATGTTAACTATATTTTACTGTATTTTATTCTCTGTACCTGTAGCAAGTAAGATGCTAGTTAGGTATTTGGGGAGGAAAGAAATATAAGCAGGGCTTCTGTACCCAAGTAGCTCAGAAACAAAAGAATCACTGAAAAAGGAAGTAAGGTGCGCCTGGGTGGCTCATTTGGTTAAGCATCAGACTTCAGCTCGGGTCATGATCTCACAATTCATCAGTTCAAGCCCCGTGTTGGGCTCTGTGCTGTTAACTCAGAGCCTAGAGCCTGCTTTGAATTCTGTGTCTCCTTCTCTCTCTGTCCCTCCCTCGCTTGCACTGTGTCTGTTTCTCAAAAATAAACAAACGTTAAAAAAAAAAAAAAAAAGAAAGACCAAGTGAGTGAAAATAAGTACTTGTATAGCTCTAGATAAACTGTACAATAGCACTAAATGGCAGGGTCCGTGTGTGTTACTTTCCTGAAGTATTGCCTTTGGAGTTGACACATTTGCATAGCTAAGTGAATTTAATTGGAGGTTGGTAATGGTTTGAAGAAAAGGAAACTATGATTTGTTAAAAAAAAAAAAAAACCACATAACAGGCATTTTCAACATTACATTTTTAATTAACTTGAGTATTTTATTAGATCTGACTACTATTAGAGGTGAAAGAGGTCAATCAAAGAGAGATACTGCTCTTACAGGATTTAATGCTGAAATTTTTGCTTTCTCCAGCACTATAGTTTTTAGCCTTATCTTGAAAAGATAAAAAAATGTGAGAACATTTCCCCCCCACCAATACTTAAACTCAGTCGACATTTTAAAAATGTGATGACAGAAGGAAGAATGGGGAAAGGCAAGGGGAGCAACTGACCTTTCTTGAGGCTAAGATACGAGAATATTTCAGAATGGAACACCTGTGTCAAACAATCAAACATTTGTCCACTGGGTGCCACTGTCTTCCTTACCAGGCTATGCCACTGAGTGATTACAAAAACAGAAGACGTCATTAGTATTCAGGACAATGGTGTGTGTGTGGAGTGGGGGTGCGGTGGATATTTTTCCTGTATCCAAGTATACATGTTAAAACTTATTTTAAATATTAATTTAAGACTTGTCATAAGGATAGTGGGAAATGCTAGCTGGCTTTCACTGGTAATCCAAATTTTTTGTCAGCCCTAAGGCTGAGTATTGGTCAGACAGGCTGGCCTGGTGCCTAGAAACAGGTTGGGGAAGCAGAGGAAATGGTGAGGACAAAGATTTGCGCTGGAAGCAAGGGGTGGAAGGTCATGGTGTATTGTCAACCAGTGGACCGTGCCTTTGAGAAGAGGGTAAATTTCACTGTTAGGCAAAGTGTAACCTGGCTTTGCCTCTTAGCGAACATAGAATTTACTGACAATGGAAAGTACAGATGCCTACAGTTTCATCTATACTAGGCATCTTTTAGTCCTGTGCCTCAGTTTACTTAAATTGAAACTTTCTAAGGTCCCTTCCAGCAGAGTTTCTGTTGGTTCACTATGAAGAAGAAGAAACCTATAAAAAGTGAGAAAATAAGATTGTGTCCACTTCCTCTGTGACATCACACAGTAAACAATTCCTTGTTAGTTTCCCTCTATTTCTGTCTACAATTTTTCTTTATTTCTCTGAAGTCATGTCTCTATTGCCAAAATAAAAGCAATATGAGATAAGCATAATTTGCGATTAAGATTTATAATCTGAGCTATTTACAGCTGTAAGAAGTTTGCAGCAGCTCAGTTGGCCAGAGTGAGAAAGGGGCATAAGAATCAAACTCTTGTCCTAAGTAATACAGTAAATAACTCATCATTACCAACTTTTGCCGAAGAAAATACTTGATTATGTTTCCAGCAGGTTGAGATCTGTGGGAGGAAATGCCTGGGAATTAGACAGTAGATGAGAGACCAAGAGGAGCAAGTAGAAACAAGGGAACATGTTAGTGACTAGAAAGAGAGGAGTAAAAAGGTTTCTGGAGATTCACAAAAAGCAGTTTTGGCATGTGTGCTGGCTTCTATCAGCAGTGCAGATGAGAGGGATGAAAAAAGGGGCTTTGGTGGGCTGCAGTTTGTAACCGTGCACAAACAGATCCCACAGCTTTTGTGTTGACATCCCACTGTTTCTTGTGCAAAGCAAATGTCAGGAAAAGCCACAGTTTCACAATGGAGCCCGGATCCAGAGGTCTCCCAGCGCAGAGGGACCCAGCAGGGCCGTTCCTGAGACACTTCCTCTGGCAACAATTCTGGCTGGTGTCTCTCCCATTCATCAGCAGCTTCTAGTTCCCAGCTCCTAACAGCAGACCCAGGATAGCCCAGGCTCCACTTCTTGCTAGATTAATGACCTTGGGCAATTCATATAATCTCTCTTAGTCACAGCTATTTTATCTAAAAGGGGGTAAACATACTGGTTTCATAGAGCACTTGTGAAGAGGGAATGAGACAAGTGTATCTGGATCTTAGTAGTTTCCCAATAAAGGTTCACTTATCTCCACTTTTAGTGGTTCTAAAAAAACTATATAGGGGTGCCTATGTGGCTCAGTTGGTTAAGCCTCCAATCATTGACTCTTGATTTTGGTTCAGGTCATGATCTCAGGGTTGTGAGATCAAGTCCCATGTCGGGCTCCACAGTGGGCATGTAGCCTGCTTAAGATTCTCTCTCTCTCTTTTTCCTTCTGCACCTCCCCTCTATCTCTCAAAAGAAAACAAAACTGTGTGGTTTTGTGTCATGTGTCATGGGCTAACGTGTGTGTGTGTTTGTGTGAGAGAGAGTCTGTGTGTATGTGTGTGTGAGCACGTGTACAAGGAGTTTCTTTTTTACTGGTGTCTTTCAACGTGTTTGAACGACACCCAAGTTGCAACATAGCCATTCTTCAGCATTCACCCTCTTCGAATCTCTCAAGCAGGAAAACTCCTCTCCCACC